TCGTGCGGTCTTCTGGGACCTTTGACATGTCTCAGAAGACTGTTGCGAAGGAGGGGGGGAGAACGTCCAAAAAAAAGTGCCATTTCTGAAAGAGGAGCAGTGGAGGAGGTCTTAAAGCGGAACCTCCTCTTTTGGGTGCACACAAACACAATATAATACCCATTTATTTTTTTTTGTAAAATGTAAAAGATGAGACTGTGTCAAGTAAGGAGATAACAAACGTATCAAGACTTCAAATTGTTTGCACCCAAGAAATGGCGACAAACTACATTAACTACAATTGTTCAATTTTGCGATGCTTTAAAAGTCTTTACAGGTTGTCACTGTGGAGTTAATCACAAATCATGGCCCCAGGATCATTGCTCTCGATCTGCAATTTGTGGCGATGTCTCACATGTGTGGTCGAATTTCTGTTTATGTGTGCGTTCAGAGCCTACACGTGCAATTGCTTTGCTTTTTTTTTTTTTTACTATATTTATTTTATTCTTTTTATTTTTTTTTTACTATCTTTATTCCTTTTTTTATTTTTTTCATTATATTTTATTGCTATCACAGGGAGGCTAACAAGCCCCCTATGTGATAGATTTGAGCAGAGATAGGTCCTCTCTTTATGCAGACATCAGGGGTCTACTAGACCTCCAATGTTTCCCCTTCCATGCAAAGTAGCTAATCAAGCACAAATTGTCATTGATTAGCCGCTTCCCTGGCTGTAACAGCCAAAGAATGACAGCTCTTACAGTGTTACTAAACCTAAAGCAATAAAATCAGTCTGTGTATGCATTAAAGCATGCTTGTTATAGTCATTATGAAACCAAAGGGGTTAGTTTGCATTGTGTAAAAAAAGTTGTTTGAGCCTATCTTCTTTGATCCTCCCCTTCTTCTACTGTCCCTAATCCATCTGCTGATGGTACAGAGCACTAGGAATCACTCATGCACATGCTCAGTTTAGTGTGTATTGCTAGAGAGGTTTTTTTCTTTGGGAGGGTGCATGTGATTAGCACAGGGCCAATCAGCTTTGTTCAGAGGGTCAGAGGTTATGTAGCCTCATAGGACAGTCAGAGAGGAATGAAAACTCCTCCTACAAGCTTTAACTAGTGCTCAGGTGGACACTGACAGAAGTCACAAGACTGCTATATACTGCTGATGAGAAAAGGTATTTAGCAGTTTATATTTACTAAAATAATTGCATTTCTATGTTCTGTGGGAGATCAGATGTAGTGAATGCAGGGTTCTGAGTTTAGTAACACTTTAAACCAGGATTGACTAAATTATTGTTGCTTTCGGCTTCATTCATCACAGAGGAGATTGGGGAACAGTTGTTCCTCTATCTCCTCTATGTGAAGAGATCAAAAACAATAGACTTACTGTAGTCTCTGATGACATGAAACGCCAATGATGAAGCTGATAGCCAGAAACCAATTCGCCAATTGCCAAAGCTCAGGAAAAAAAAAGTCAGCCATCCTAAAATTAACCTATATTTTGCCTATAGTGAACAGGTTAGTATGTGCATACTTTCCCTGTATTCTCCTACATTTGCCAGGCAATTGCACTCTGGCACCACGTCCTGCATGGTGGGAAGGCATGTCAAGTCCAGGACAGTCTAATCTCAGGAAGTGAGTTGAATATAGCTGGCTGTCATGGGTGAGGGCATCTAGTGGTAGAAAAGAAGTACTGCGGAGGATTGAAGGTGACTTTTTTTTTTAATTGTTATTCCGTGAATATTTTGTTGTCCAGTATGTATATGTACAATCTTTTTTCCAAAGGTCCTCTATGTCAGTACTATGTCAGGGTTTCTTCCTCTCTTTTTCCAATGGTGCACTGAATGGCAATGGTGTGTGAGTGCCATGAAGAGCAGCAGCACTCTGAACTAGGGCAGCGTCATCATGAACTTAATACTTTCCCTGGTATGGGCAAACCTTGGGTTCACTTTGATTGACACTAAACTTTGGTTTTATAAAAAAAATTCCATTCAAGTATGTATTCATAACTCAAAAAGTCCCTTCTATTGCTCTCAGCCAGGGGTGGCTAACCTGTGGCTCTCCAGCTGTTGTGGAACTACATTTCCCATGAGGCATTGCAAAGATGGGAAGTTACTGACTTGCAGAGGCATGATGGAACTTGTAGTCCTGCAGCAGCTGGAGAGCCGCAGGTTGGCCACCCGTGTCTCAGCCATATTATAATTTGAAGAATAATTATATGTACTTATTGGTGTTTGGTGATAGAGGATTTTTGTATAATGTTTAATTTGTATTTATTTGATATGTTTGTAGTAATTTGTCTAATGGTGGAGATCCGAGGTCCTGAGGAAGCAGGTTTCCCACGAAACACATCGACCTGAAATCAGCCTCCAGGGACTTTACAATCCAAGTCAATATTATCCATAAATCCACTGACATCATATAGTTGTGTTTTTAACCACTTGACCTCCAGAGGATTTACCCCCCTTAATGACCAGGCCTCTTTTTGCTACTCGGCGCTGCACTAATTCAACTGATAATTGCGCGGTCATGCAATGCTGCACCCAAACGAAATTTACGTCCTTTTTTTCACACAAATAGAGCTTTCTTTCAGTGTAATTTGATTACCTGTGAGCTTTTTATTTTTCACGCTATAAACAAAAAAAGGCCAAAAATTTTGAAGAAAAAAAAACAATATTTTTTACTTTCAGCTATAAAAAATATATAGTAAACTCAAAGTTGGTTATAAATTTAGGCCAAAATGTATTCTGCTACATGTTTTTGGTAAAAAAAAACCCCAATAAGTGTATATTGATTGCTTTGTGTGGAAGTTATACCGTCTACAAACTATGGTATAAATACTGCAATTTACACCATTTTTTCTTCTATACAGCGCTGCGCTAGTTTAACGGACAATTGCGCGGTCATGCAATATGGTACATAAATGAAATTTACATCCTTTTTTGCCACAAATTGAGCTTTCTTTCGGTGGTATTTGATCGCCTGTGTGGTTTTTATTTTTTGCGCTATTAGAAAAAAGGCTGACAATTTTGAGGAAAAAAATATATTTTGGACTTTTTGCTATAAAACATGTCCCAGTAAAAAAAAAAATGCAAAAATCTAATTTAGTCATAAATTTCTGCCAAAATGCATTCTGTGACATGTCTTTGCTAAAAAAAAAAAACCCCAATATGTGTAAATTAATTGGTTTACGTGAAAGTTATAGCGTTTACAAATGGCGGGAAAGATACTGGAATTTTTAGGGTTTTTTTTATACTAATATTATGGCGGCGATCCGGGACTTATGGCAGCGACCAGTGACTTATGGTGGGACTGCGGGACTGCGGCGGACATTCTGACATTGGGGGGTACTGACTTGGGGTCACTGACATCCCCAAAAACACTAATACAGTGATCAGTGCAAAAAAAAACACTGACACTGTACTAATGGCACTGGGGAGGAAGGGGTTAAGTTTATTTTGCAGAGAAGGGTTATCTGTGTGAGGGGAGTGTTTTTTACTAGGGGGCGGGGGTGTGTACTGCAGGGGACAGGGCTGATCGGGTGAGTGAAACTCTTCTGTCCCAATCACCGTGTCCCCAAAAACACCAATACAGTGATCAGTGCAAAACATAAAAACACTGACACTGTACTAATGGCACTGGGGAGGAAGGGGTTAACTTTATTTTGCAGGGAAGGGTTATAGGAGTGAGGGGAGTGTTTTACTAGGGGGCGGGGGTGTGTACTGGGCGGGACAAGGCTGATCGAGAAAGAGAAACTGTTCTTTCTCGATCAGCTCATCCTCGAGCTGACAGGGAAGTGACAGACAGCACAGCTACTGCAGCTGTGCTGTCTGTCACTGTTTGCCGCCGATCGCCGGGAAACAGCCGCTAAGGACCGGCTGTGACCCAGCGACTCACATCTGTGGCAGTGATTGGCGGGACAGATAGGGCGGCGGCGCGCCTCGCGCGTGCCCCCTATTTGTTTACAAAACACACGTTTTAAAACGTGGTTTTGCCTGCGAGTGCCGCCCTTCTGCCGTATATGTACAGTGGCTGGGCGGCAAGTGGTTAAAGATTTGTTTGATATATTTTTTTTTATTTTACTTATGTATAAAAATAAAAATGTACAAGTATTTTTAAAGACGGTTGTTATTGTTTGTTTACTCCACTGGAGATATATTTTAAGTACGTTCTAAAAATATATACATAGTTTTGGAAGAATATAATTTAGTGTCACTTTAAGCTTTCGATTTTTGTTTTTTCTGCTCCACTAAACAACAAAATTCATAAAGGACTAAAGATAAATGAAGTTATGCATGTTCCCTTTGTGGTTCGGAAAATGCAGTTGCTTAGCTACATCCTTCTGCAAAGTGCCCAGATAAAAAAAAAAAACAGCAGATTTTTTAAAGTCTGGGAACACTTTATTTTTAGACTGCTGGATGCAATCATCTCTTACATATTTTATTGAATCCTTGTCTTGCCAAATGCGTTTCTTTTTTAGGTGCTCGCTGAATTCTGATTGAGACAAAGATGTGACCTTGCTTTAACTGTACAAGTGGTTTTAGCTGGTCTTAAAATGGCTTTTGAAAGTTTGCTCATGTTATTTGTGTGGAGATTGGATTAAATGATCGTCGCCTCCACTTACCACCAGAGCCAGATCTAGCCTATCAGATCTGGGGGTGCAGTAAAAAAAAGTCAGGGGCATAATATCAACACTGAGTCACTGACAGTCTGTCACACAGGGATTTATTTACTAAAGCTGGTGCACTCAGAATCTAGTGCACCTGTGTATGGCAGCCAATCAGCTTCTAACCTCAGCTTGTTCAATTAAGCTTTAGCAATAAAACCTGGAAGCTGAAGTGCACAAGATTTTGAGTGAACCAGCTTTAGCAAATAAACCCCATTGTGTCATGACCTGGGGAACACTATTATGTATTAGATTGTTATTAGGTTAGGGTGATTAACAAATATTTGTGCCCCCTTATATCAGATGACCTATTAGAGTCCCCCATTATATCAGGAGCCCCCATCAAAGTTCTCCCTTACATCAGGTGTCCCCATCAGAGTGCCCCCTTACATCAGGATCCCCATCAGAGTGCCCTGTTACATCAGGATCCCCATCAGAGTGCCTCCTTACATCAGGTGCCCACAACAGTTTGCCCCGTTTTATCAGGATCTCCATCAAAGTTCACCCTTACATCAGGATCCCCATCAAAGTTCCCCCTTACATCAGGTGTCCCCATCAGAGTGCCTCCTTACATCAGGTGCCCACAACAGTTTGCCCCGTTTTATCAGGATCTCCATAAAAGTTCACCCTTACATCAGGATCCCCATCAAAGTTTCCCCCTTACATCAGGATCCCCATCAAAGTTCCCCCTTACATCAGGTGTCCCCATCAGAGTGCCCCCTTACATCGGGATCCCCATCAAAGTTCCCCTTTACATTAGGTGTCCCCATCAGAGTGCCCCCTTACATCAGGATCCCCATCAACGTTCACTCTTACATCAGGTGTCCCCATCAGAGTGCCCCCTTACATCAGGATTCCCATCAAAGTTCCCCCTTACATCAGGATCCCCATCAAAGTTCCCCCTTACATCAGGTGTCCCCATCAGAGTGCCCCTTACATCAGGATCCCCATCACCGTTCACACCCATACATTAGGTGTCCCCATCAGAGTGCCCCCTTACATCAGGATCCCCATCAAAGTTCCCCCTTACATCACGTGTCTCCATCAGAGTGCCTCCTTACATGGATTGCCCACATAAGAGTGCCCCCTTACATCAACTGTCTGCATCAGATTAGCTCATGGGTCAGTGAATGAACTCTCAGAGTTTTTGTGGGGCACAAGTAAAATCGGGGGGGGGGGGGGGCACAGCCCTTCCAGCACCCCCCTAGATCTGGCCCTGCTTAGCACTAGTGTGCTGTCCTGATGCCACGGCCTATGAAAAACCCTTTCACAGTTAAGCAGTCAGTGTTTAAAGCTGAAGTCCAGGTATGGATATTTTTGTATAGTTACATCGGACCACTTTAGACCAATGTAAGTATGCATATTCCCTAACTGGTCAATCCCTGAGTATTGCAGGTAAAATCATTGTGTATGACTCATGGTAACTGTGTGAGTCTGTGATTGAGGTTGGGTTATTGCAGGTCAGCTGGATTACTTCACAGGTTGTGGCTCTATCTCCTCCTCCTGACTCTGGAGAACCATAGAACCTTCCAGAAGTCGGTAAGCAGGAAGAGGTGGAGACCTAATCTGCATGTTTATAGGAATCCAACCAATCCCAGGTTTGGAGGCCCTGGCAGAGTGTAAGACCAGCCCATAAATATGGGAGAGTCAGGCAGACAGGGGAGTCGGGTCGAAGATGGAGTGCTAAGGAGACTGTTGGTGCCAGGGAGGTGTCCCCTAGGTCTGGTGGGGAAGGGAGCCTCCAAGCTGGGCTTGGACTGGCTCAGAAGGATACATTCAGCAGTGAGGCGTGAATGGGATTGAGACTTGGAGCAGTGGGGAGCAAACAGGACAGAATGAGTACAGCAGCATTCTCTGTGTCAGGGTCCTGTTCACGGCATTAGTTCTGGAAGATCTAGCATTTCTGCCAGTACCCTGCATGGCCACAAGAGCATGCATCAGCCTCAGTCTGGTGCCAGACGGCCTTTAAAAGGCCTCAAGTTGCTGGATGATCTCTAGCTCCCCATACCTTGTTCCTGTTTCCTGTGATTGTGACCTGTGATTTCCTGATAACGCAGGGGTGTCCAAACTATAGCCCTCCAGCTGTTGAAATACTACAAGTCCCATCATGCCTCTGCCTCTGGGTGTCTTGCCTGTGGATGTCAGAGTCTTGCAAGGCCTCATGGGACTTGCACAACACCTGGAGGGCCATAGTTTGAACACCCCTGTGATAATGACTTGGCTTGCTCCCGGACCTGTCTACTCTGCTTTACCCCTGATCTGACCTCGGCTTGGCTTACGGATACTCTCTCTATCACTCCTCTGTGTATGACCTCGGCTATCCCATCTGACTATGTCTGCTCTGATTCCCACCTGGTACCTGACCTTGGCTTGATCCGACTACACAGCAAACATCTAAATCCCGGAAGGGCTTGCATACCATGCACAGGCGCCTCCTGTCTGCAGACCTATCTCCGTGCACCAGCTGTGCTTCTAAGTGGACCACCAACCAGCACTCCTACAGGTGACCTGTGCAACTTTGGACCTGACTCCTGCTGTCCCATTCTCAGGGGAGTCTGGAACTTAGCCGCAAGGGAAGCCCTCTCTCCATTGGCCTCCATCACCAGGTACGTGATACTCTGGGGTCTACAAGGGTAAAGACTGTCACAAGTAGCAAGCTTTCTAAGTACAGAGCTGGGCTCAGTCCTTTATCCTTGTCACGGGAGATCTCCTGGGAAGCCAGAAGGGTTGGTAGTGTCTGCAGGCTGTGGACCTGGGAGCAGTTCTACAAGGGGAGAGGAGACATCCCTGCATGTAGTTACAAGAAGATAAGCTGAAATCTGGAAGGGCTGTTGGTTCCTCGCCCATAAGGGCTGTTGCTACTGATCCACAAAGACTGACAGCTTTCACCGAAAAAAACAGTCCAGGATCTGTCTTTGTACATAGGAAGGAAGTTGCCCTCCCTTCATTGATTCAAGCCAAACTGGGCATTCCTTAATCCCTATTTCCCTATCCAAGTTTATTTCCCCTAATAAAACAACAAAACCAATTCCATGGACTGGTTATTGTCTCCTGGATGCAAGCCTATGTGTATGGAAAAATACCAGTTGCCTGGATGTGCAGAGCTTAGGGGTTCCCACAACACAGCGGCCCTAACGAGGGTAGCGCTGCACTAGTAACAGTGTTCCTGATCACTGCCACACCAGTGCCAGTGTCACCACAGCCAGTGCAACCAGCAGCATCCCTGATTGCTGCCACACAAGTCCCAGTGTTACTAGACTAGTGTAAGCCAGCAACAGTGTTCCTGATCAGAATATATGGAATCAAGCGCTGGGTATAGGGAATAATACAAATAAATGAATATATTGAATATATTGAATACAAACTAGCTGCTGGCATAAAAGGTCACCTCAAGAACCTAACAATAATGGTCAAAATATAACAAACAATGCAGCGCTAGTAAATCAGTGACAATCTCAGAAGTGTCAAATAAATTATAATATCAGATAAAAGTTCCAAAACAGATAGTGCAGGGCAGGGTAGAAAATCCGTGACTCCTGTGATGGTGGGAAAGAGTATAGGTTTACACTAACCAGATAGATGAAATGCTTGCGAATGGAGTATATAAGACCTACTCCTGGTACTCTGGATGTGAATCACTGGAATGGATAGTAGTCATCTATGCCTTAGCCACCAGGTGTCATACATCTGGAATACATCAGAGGTCTCCCTGGATGCCAACTTCAGCCACCAGGGGGGGTATTCATCCCAAACATCAGACATCAAGTAGGCAGGAATCAGGCAAACCTTCAAAGAGTGGGGCTCCCATGGAGAAAACAGGGCCCCCGACAAAGCTTCTGATAGTGCAGTAACTTTAATAATGGTGGTAATAAGCATACAAGGAAATACATAAAAAAATCCAAGATGGCCGCTGCTATGTTTAACCAATTCAATACCGGGCAATTTTACACCTTCCTGCCCAGGCCATTTTTCAGGTTTCAGCGCTCTCACAAAATGACAATTGCGCGGTCATGCAACATTGTACCCAAACTAAAATTTTATCACTTTCTTCACACAACTAGAGCTTTCTTTTGGTGGTATTTAATCACTGCTGGGGTTTTATTATTTGCTAAATTAACAAAAAAAGACCAAAAAGTTTGAAAAAAAAAAAATTTTTTTTCTTTGTTTCTGTTATAAAAGTTTGCAAATAAATATTGTTCTTCATAAATTTAGGCCGAGATGTATTCTGCTACATGTCTTTGGTGAAAATAACCCAAATTAGGATGTATTTTTTAGTTTGTAGGAAAGTTATAGAGGTCACAAACTATGGTATAGATCTGAATATTGATCAATCCTGAAGTACTGACGGCCAATCTAATTTCTTGAGGTCCAAGAATGTCAGAACAGTACAGATATCCCCCAAATGACCCCTTTTTGCAGAGTAGACAGTCCGACGTACTTCATAAGAGGCATGGCGGGTTTTTTGAAGTTGTATTTTTTTTGTCATAATTTTTCGGAAAATGAAAAAAATGAAAAAAATTTGTTTCACTGTTGTTTTTTTACATATTGTCACCAGTGCAGTACAGCGTCATCATATAACTGGCATGGCGGTGATCAGGGACACTGACTGGTGACAGTATGAAAAAAAAAATATATAATATTTTTTTAATTTTTTTTTATTTTTTATTAAATTTTTATTATTTTTTTTAAGATTTTTTTTTATATTTCACTATGACCAAAGTAGTACAATGTTACCATAGTAATATTGTACTACTTTGGGGAAGTGATCAGTATTTTTTTTTTTTTTACACAATTTGCTTATAGCAAAGAATTAATTTGCTATAAGCAAGCATTTACCTGAATGACATCGATTCATTCAGGTTTTTTTTTTTTGTGCTTAGCTGTGATTTGGCTACAGCTAATCACATGACATGTGCATGTGATTAGCTGTGACCATTCACAGCTAGACACTAGTATACAATGGATGGCATGAATGAAGCCATCCATTGTATACAACTGTCATGTGACCTGCTGTGATCACAGCAGGTCACATGGTACCGGCAACGGGGGCCGGTACTCAAAGTCTTTACAGCTCATCAGTTTAGCATTAAAGTGATATTTACAGTGGCTTAGTGGTTAGCACTTCCGTCTGGCCGTACTAGGTCCTTGGTTCGAATCCCAGCCACGGCACCACCTGTCTGGAGTTTGCATGTTCTCCCTGTGCCTGCGTGAGTTTCCTCCTGGGTACTCCGGTTTCCTCCCACACTCCAAAGACATGCTGGTAGCGTTTCCCACGATGACGCGGCGGCGGCACAGAGCGCATGCGCGCCAAGGGTTATTTAATGGACTTGTTTCCACATGCGCACTCCCTTTGATAACATGTCTTATACACAAAACACGTCAGGAGTGCCCCCTATTGGACTGCTGTGTTACTGCACTGCATGGCTTATTAACCATTTGCCGCCCGCCCTATGGCCGAATGGTGGGCGGCAAATGTCATCAGCGTTCCGGGTGGACGCCATAAGGCGTCCTCCCGCATATGCGCAGTTCGCGCGCGCTTGCAGAGCTGCGCAGCGGCGCGATCTGTCACCGGCCGTGTACCTCGGACACAGCCAATGACAGATCTGAGTACCGGCCCCCGTTGCCGGTACTCAGATCAACTAAGCACAAAAAAAAAAAAAAAACCTGAATGAATCGATGTCATGCAGGTAAATGCTTGCTTATAGCAAAGTAATTGTTTGCTATAAGCAAATTGTGTAAAAAAAAAAAAAAAACTGATCACTTCCCCAAAGTAGTACAATGTTACTATGGTAACATTGCACTACTTTGGTCATAGTAAAATATGAAAAAAAATCTTTAAAAAAATAAAAACAAATTTAATAAAAAATTTAAAAAAATATATATATATATATATATTTTTTTTTTCATACTATCACCAGTCAGTGTCCCTGTTCACCGCCAT